CAATAGCATAGCCATAGTCCTTTTATACATCTCCAATCAAAGTTTAACACTTACATTGAAACCTGGGACTGGCTTGCGTATAGATGGGCATTTGTAGAGTGACAGAGGCTTAATTGGGACGGTTGAACTGAAACTTTCTAATTTTCGTCATAAATCTCGGTAGCATCGTATATATTCAGCAATACCTCTATGAATCTTGCTGTGTTGGGATCTTGCTGTTTAACTTTAAGCACTCCTTTTCCAATAAACCTGAAACCTTCTGCCCTTTCTTTTGTAATGAATCCCTTTGGTTTCACCTTCCTCTACATCCTCTGACAAAATTTGCTTCTCCAGTTTAATCAGGTCCTCATTGATTAATTCTCCAGCATGAGACTTAAGCAACTGTGTGACATCATCCTCAAGATGGAGTTGGTTCCCAAGGTCAGTGTCAATCCCCCAACATCATTTTCAGAGCCCCTGAAATTGTGGACAAACTGTGGGCAGAGTTTTTACCAAACACCATTTGGCCTTACCTTAAAGTGGTTAAACCAGCCCCTACTAGCGACAAAGTCTTCCCCATCACTTTCACCACCACGTTTAGCCTTAAAGTCAATGTGCAAGCTTCTCACTTTTGCCTGAATCAAGGCTAGACTTAGAGGCAAATGCCATTGATTCTGATCTTCCACCCATATCACTAACAATCTTTCCATTTCAATTAGCAATCCACTTATTTGTTTTGTTGTCACAGTTGACTGCATTGGTATACATCCTTTTACATGTTCAAGAATTTTCTCTTTGTCTTTTAAAATTGTTCCGACCGTTGACAGACTGTAGCCCAACACTTCACCATTGACTGAGGGTAATTCACCTTTTACACAATGTTTAATTACATCAACTTTCACTTTCATTGTAATTGTTTTCCTGTTCTTGGATGCACTACTATCACTTGCATCAGGTTTGCATTTAGGAGTTAATAAGTAAAAAAAAAAAAGTTTTAACTTGATCAGACGCGTCAAGGGTAAAGTGAACTGACGCTCCCTCAAGGTACGAAGATCGCTCCCCATGCACCGCTTCGCCTTCCCTCTACGCGTGCAAACTAGTTATTGTATGTAACTGCTACGAACCATTGTATTACGTCCGATTTTTTAAATAATTGACCCTATGAGACCTCGTTTGTATTGCCGGACGTTTTTCGAACGTCCGGCAGTGCCCCTCGTCCACTGATTCGTAAACAGTTGAAAAGAATGTTAATGGATTAGTTAGACATTAATGCCCACTTGTGAAGCCAAGTTGGGAATCATTGATCAACTTGTGCTTCTCGAGATAATTTCAAATAGAGTTTGAAATGATTGCTTCCAGTAATTTGCCTACAATTGATGTTAGACTGATTGGACGGTAGTTAGAGGATAGTGATCTATCCCTCTTCTTGAAAATCGGTATTACATTTGCTGTCCTCCAGGATTCTGGTACTACACCCATTTTTAAGGACATGTTAAGCAACTTTGCTAAGGGCATACTAAGCTCTTCCTTACATTCCTTTAATACTCTGGCAAATATCTCATCGGGACCTGGTGACTTATTAGGCTTCAGTTTGTCTATTTGCTTACTAACTTCGTTACTTGTCACTCCTATCTCGCTTAATCTATTTCTTCACTATCTGTATATAGTCGGTGCCTCGGGTATCATGTTTAAATTTTTGGTGGTGAAAACTGTTGAAAAATATCTGTTCAGGTGTGGCTAAGAGTGTGTGTGTGTGTGTGTGGGGGGGGGTAGGGGTGGTGGTGGTGGTAATAATAATAATAATAATAATAATAATAATAATAATAATAATAATAATAATAATAATAATAATAATAATAATCATAATAATCATAATAATCATAAATAATAATAAATAATAATAAATAATAATAAATAATAATAAATAATAATAAATAATAATAATTAATAATAATTAATAATAATTAATAATAATTAATAATTAATAATTGATAATAATAATAATAATAATAATAATAATAATAATAATAAGAACAACAACAACAACAACAACAACAACAACAATAATAATAATAATAATACTGTAATAATAATAATAATAATAATAATAATAATAATAATAATAATAATAATAATAATAATAATAATAATAATAATTATCGGTTTGTTGAAAAAGTTTAGCGGCCCAAAACCTGAAAATATACATTAGACAAAAAAGACTTATTACATACAAAGACATGGGGTGGTGGGTCGTTTAACAAAAGCTTTCATTACTAAAAGAAGAAGGAACATGAACTGAACATACAAATTATTATAGTTTACAGTTGATGGCCTGGTGTAACAGCCCAAAATATACCCCCTCCCCAGACTATACCCGGGGTTAAAGTGGCCTAGCCTGTTTTATACCCCAGGTATATTCTGGGCTAGTCCAGTTTATACCCCAGGGTATAAAACAGGCTAGGCTATTTCATACCCCCTAAGCCAGATTATAACCCCTCCCCCACACATACTCAGAAACCAGCCCTATGAGAGTTGTTTTGAACTCAGTGGTCTGGCTAAACTATCTTAATTTAAATTAAAAAACACACTCGGATATTAAATTTTGATTTTATTTCTCACCTAACCTAACCTAACCTACCTCTCCCACAGGACCTGAATTCACTTGTTCTGGCCCTAGTGGGGTAATACCACCCCACACCTCATGCCTAAGCCTATCTCTTAAACATATAAAATTTGTTTTCTGAAGTCTGTTACAATTCTATTATTTTCTTTCTTCTCATTTGTTAAGTTAAGGTCATATCTGATGACTTTGTGATCGCTATTTCCTAATGTTTCTCCAATTTCTAAATTTGCAATTGCATTTTATCTATTACTTAATACTAAATCCAGTATATTATTCCCCCGAGTTACCTTATTTACGAAAAACACAAGGAGGAATAATCTGGACTAGGGAGGCATAGTCTGGCCTAGCCCAAAATATACCCCAGGGTATAATATAGCCTGGGCTATTTTATAGCCCGGGGTATATTTTGGGCTAGCCCACTGTAACCCCGGGTATAATTTGGCGGGGGGTTAATGTGGGTTGCTACACTGGGCCTGGACTGGTCATGGGGACACCAGGTGGTGTGGTGTTCAAGTGGTGTAGTAACTCGTCCTTGGGTGTTGATATAAAGGACCTCATGTGGTCATGGAGACACCAGGTGGTGTGGTGTTCACGTGGTGTAGTAACTCGTCCTTGGGTGTTGATATAAAGGACCTCATGTAGTCATGGGAACACCAGGTGGTGTGGGGTGTGGGATGGTGTCATAGTACCTCACCCTGCTGGGTGGTGTTGTGTTATCTCATAGTCAGGTGCATAGCCGGCCGGCCCTCTGTTGTTCCCATGGTGGACTGATAAGCACCTCCTGGTCAGAAGATGGTGGTCAGTTCCCAGGGGTGCTTATCTCACTGGTACTGTCTAGTGCTAAATTCACTGGCTTAAACACTGTTCATCACTATTCAACACTTGTCCTGCTTCTTTCCGAAACGAAATTGTCTTTTTTGATTATGTTGATATCCCGGTGGTGAGGATGGGTTGGGGAGAGGGACTTGGGGAATGGGCCGAACATTGACCAAGGGGGCCGCTGAGGAGCAGGAGCAGCGCCTAAATAGGTCTTGACCCTACAGTGGTCAGGGATGTAGTGTGTGTACTGAGGTGTGGCTAAGAGTGTGTGTGTGGACCTGTGAGACACAGTCTGGTAATGTCTTAACACACACACACACACACACACACACACACACACACACCCCTCGGATTTCAAAGAAGTCTTATACCATGGCTTACAGACTTCCTCAGTGACCAACGCCAAGCTGTACGCTTCCGAGGGGCTGTCTCCACCTTTCAGTCCTTATGTTTATCAATGATGACCTAAGAGAAACTCCTGCTCACTGGAAATATGTGGACGACTCCACCATTGGGATCAGCGTCAACAATTCTGCTCCCGACTATACCGCCCTTCAGGATTTATTGAACAGTCTCCAAAACTGGGCCACCAACAACCACGTCACCATCAACCATACCAAGACCATGGTTATGCACATCAACCTCTCCTCTGATGTTGTCCCACCCCCTTCCACTAAGCTCCTCGGTGTCACCATAGACAACAAACTAAATTGGAAACCACACGTCAGTGAAGTTGTCAAATCCTCCAATTTCCGTCTCCACCTCCTCCGCCGACTCAAGTCCCTCGTAGTTCCTGCACCCGAGCTACTCAGTGTTTACTCAACATTCATACTTCCCAAGCTCACCTATGCCTCCCCTACCTGGTCTTCCTAAATGACACACAACGTAAACACCTAGAAAAAATGCAAAACAGGGCATGCAAGATTATTCTCTCCCCTTCCTACTCCACATACCAAGAAGAGCTCAACACACTGGCCCACTTTGGCTCTCTCTGACCATCACCACAACCTCTTCTGCAAATTTGGTGAGAAGCTTCTGCACCATCCTCGACACCAGCTCCTACTACCACCCGAGATCCCTCGTCCGAGAATTGCTGTTCGACACCACAACCGCATCCAGCCCATACGAGCACGAACTGATTGCTATAAGAACAGCCCAGTCCCAACCATTGTAAAAATTATCAATAACTTGTAATCAACCAGTGTATTCACTCCCAGTCAATCTTACTTTTTGCACTGTCACTATGTTGAAATGCCCTGTAGTTAGAGCTTCTCCCCACCTAGTTATTATATATCATATTTGTATCACTTATGTTACTTGTAAATCAAGAGACCCATTCCCCAATTATGTAACTGTATATTTTCAGCCTTCCGGCTACCTTGCTCTTTCAATAAACCATTTATTAAACATGCACGCACGCACGCACGCACGCACGCACGCACGCACGCGCACACACACACACACACTGCATAATAATGGAAGCCTCTCGAAATAGAGGATGGCCGGCCCAAGGGCCACCTAGGCATGAATTTGTTTAAGGTGTAGAAGCTGTCGCCAACACAACAACCACACCCTAAGTTAACGAACTGCACTGGCTAACCATTACCCAGGAACACGATCCACAAATCGATTAACATCTAGGTTCCCAATTACTACTGGGTAGACAGAGGCAAATAGCATAAAGAAACTTGCCCATAATTTCATCCTGCCCGAAGATCGAACTCAGGTCCACTCGCTTGCGAGGCGAGGATGCTGACCATTACACACACACACACATTATTAAGTTGTAGTAAGACTATGTGTTGGTAGAGAAACAGAAGATGTAAAGTTTTGAGATATTCTGGGATTTCATGACCAAACAAAAACAACATTTTGGACCAGACACAAGACAAATATTGTAGTATGTATTAGTACAATTGATGGAGTGGAAGTTGGCGATGATGTTGTCAGCAAAGTGGCCAACATTTAAAGATGGTTAAAGAACAAAGTCTGTTGGTTGGTTGGTGACAAGTCAAATGAGTTTCAAAGTAACTTAACCTTACTGAAAGTTATAATACAAACCAAACAGGATAGATTAGGTTAGGGTGAGGTTAGGGTGAGGTAGATTTGGTTGGGTTCAGTTTGCCTGGGTTAGATTGGGTTACACTGGCCTGGGTTAGGGTAGGTTAGGTTAGGTGAACGCACATGACGGAATTTTGTACAAGAATGACCGAGATGAATTGATTGAGTTGTTATACAAGACTGACTTAGTAAGATGGATGTAGAATGATAGATAACGTGGATGTACAATGACGGATAAGCTGGATTTACCCAAGTGGACAGGCCAAATCATCATACAGAGAGAAAGTAAAAAGATATATATATTGACTTAACCTAACCAAACTTCACCTCACCTCAGCTAGCCTCAACTCAGCTAGCCTCACCTCACCTCACCTAACCTCACCTCACCACACCTCCTTTCACTTAAGAGAGTGGGTTAGGTGTAAAGTGTGTGAGTCATGGTAGTGTGTGAGGTCCTGTCTGTGGTGTACCAATGTCTGTCTCATTACATATCAATATTTTACTATAAAAGATGAAGTGTAAACAGTGACTCAGCAAGAGGTTGACCCGTGTGACTCATGTGCTAATATATATTAATTACAGCACATTACAATGACTTTTACTGTTGTTAATACTATACTGTAAGGAAGGCTAAACTGTGTGTGAACCGTCCCTTCTCTCATAATGTACTGTGGTAATTGTACTTAAAACACAAATATGGCAGAGAAACACGGCCCCACGAGCCTCCTATATATACAGTGCTATCATGTACACATCATATATGCAATAAATCTGGTATATACATCACAAATTATAACCTTGTCAATCTTAGCAAGAAACAAGTGAAATGTGTGAAGTGAGACAAATGCAAAAGCACAGGTAGAATGCCTCACCAATTACAGTAATGATGAATAACGTGACTCTAAAAGATATATGACGAGACCCTTGAAGGTCTGTCATTAAACCCGACGAGCCATCGTGGGTGTTAGCCTCCCCTGGTTTGCTTCTGGGGACGAGGCCAACCAGCTCCGTCAGTCGGGTCGCAGTATGTCTTTTTTGGGGATGACCTCTATCACCAACACCTGAAGTGAGACAATAACACATTAGAACAGTGGGTGACTTATGACACCCTGTATGGTGGGTGACTTATGACACACCCTGTATAGTACAGTCTGGATGAATATAAAAACCTTTTTCACCTTCCAAATTTTGATATATTGAGAAAGAAAAAAATACACTATATTGAAAACTGATAGAAAATGAGTTTGTTGGTGACAGAATCTTTTGTTTCCGTATACTGTACAGTCAAAGATTGTCAGTTATTTACAAGTGCAAAATATTCCCATCTGATAATGAGTGTACGTAAACAACACCGCGCCGTGTTGTTGTGCAAGGTAGTAGTTGGCGGGAGCCACGAATTACCCAAAAGAATAGCAAATAAGGGTAAAATCTTAACGAATATCTGTTATACATACACAAAACATGTTTAATATTATTTTTAGTGTAACTTTGTAAAAATAATTTGTAAGATGAAACAATAAACAGCGAAAAACTTTCAGTATTGCCGAACGCTAAATTCCAAAGAGTTCGTGAACAAGGGAGATAACTCAGATCCATCGTGATGCACTTCGCTAACCTAACCTAATGAAAAGTAAATCCTACAGCTATGTTAAATACCCCAAAGTAACAGAAACATCAGTAATTATATCTCCATTTTGGATAGGTGACTCTTTGGAATTTAGCGTTTTTTGCTGTTTATTATTTCATTACTTTGACTACATTTCAATGAAAACATTATTAATCAGGTTTTATTGATGTAAAACATATATTCTTTAAGATTTTATCCTGATTTAATATACTTTTGGGTATATTTGGATACTTTTGGGTAATTAGTTGGACCGGTAGTAGGCACCTACCAACAAGGAGGAAGATATTGTGTTGGTAGACCCTGCTGCTATATGTGACCAAGTCCCAGGTTGATGATCTGACTTTCTGCCTCATTTACACACAACTGCAGGGTCTCAATTGTTTCTCTTACAACACAACATACATATATTATTTGTCACTATTGATATATTTTAATTTTTGTATTTATTTATGGCTCTTTTTTATTATTATTATTATTATTATTATTATTATTATTATTATTATTATTATTATTATTATTATTATTATAGTAATACAGTATATCCGTTAGCCAGAATCACTCAAACCCGGAACTCTACGATACCCAGGTAAAGTCTATGGTTTTCATGTAGTTTATCCTAATTTACATTGAAATACATTACGTTTCAGCAAAACTACTTTTTATTTCTGAGAATATGGAAATGTAATATTTTTGCTGCAATGACGAACGTATTACAGTGGAAAGTGAAGAAAGCAATGACTTTCGCTTTCTTTCGTTCAAAAGATGTTACCGTAATCACTTTACGAATGGTTTGCAGTTAAAAAACTGTTGTATAACAATAATATTCTATCCTAATTCACTTGTGATGCAACAGTTTTTAACTGAAAATCATTCGAAAAGCGATTACGGTAACATCTTTTGAACGAAAGAAAGCGAAAGTCATTGCTTTCGTCACGATTTTATCCCACTTTCCACTGTAATACGTATGTTATTTCAGCATAAATATTACATTTCCGTGAATGTAGTATATCAAGCACAGTATGAATAGAATATCATTGCAATATAACAGGATTTTAACCGAAAACTATTAAAAAAACGAGTAACATCTCTTGAACATCGCAAGGTTAGGTAGAGTCTTTTGTTTTCGTCATGTATTTTATCCTATTTTACATTAAAATACATCACGTTTCAGCAAAACTACTATTTATTTCTGAGAATATATTCATTCAGGCGCAGCTTAGGTAAAATATACATAAAATGTAACAGTTTTTTAACTGAAAACGATTCGAAAAACACGTACCCTCTAGCCCTGTTCAAGGAGAAGACTGGGAGGAGCTGTTTGGTGCTGAAAACGATGACAAGGAAAATGATTTTGATGGATTTTAATGAAAATATTCAGAAATATGGTATCGTAGTATTTATTCAAGTGAATTAAGATAGAATATTATTGTAATACAACAGTAGTGACAATGTGGAGGAGGCGGATGGATAGAGCGGGGAGGAGTGGTGACGAGTGGAGATGCCAGCCAGTACATTACGGGTGTACAGTATTAATTGTTTTTATAGCTCTTTTTGCATTTTAATATTAAATACTGTACATTACGTTTCAACAAAACTACTATTTATTTCTGAGAATATGGAAATGTAATATTTTTGCTGAAATGACGTAAGTATTACAGTGGAAAGTGGGATAAAATTGTGACGAAAACAATGACTTTCGCTTTCTTTCGTTCAAAAGATGTTACCGTAATCGCTTCTCAAATGGTTTTCAGTTGTGGGATTATGAGGCTAATGATAGGATAGAATATTATTGTAACACAGTACAACAGTTTTTTAACTGAAAACCATTCGAAAAGCGATTACGGTAAAATCTTTTGAACAACGAAAGAAAGCAAAAGTCATTGTTTTCGTCATGATTTTATCCCACTTTCCACTGTAATATATTCGTCATTTCAGCCAAAATATTACATTTCCATATTTATTTCTGAGAATATATTCATTCAGTCACAGTTAAGGTAAAATATACTTGTGATATAATATTTTAATGAAAATACGGTATCGTAGTTTTCTTTTGTTTCAAATTTAATTAAAAAAGATTGATGTTTCAAATGTAATGAACAAAAATTTATGTACAGTATCTATAAATAAACTTTAAAAAATGAATACTTTATGTTTTACTTCGAACTGTGCTACCATACCATGGATTTGGCTACTTTGGGCTTGCTATGATGACGCAAGAGATCTGCCCTGGCAACTGTACCGACACTCACAGCTGGTAGTGCTTTGGTGCATCGTTTCCATTGGTTACTGATAGTTACTGGTAAATATTTTTCAACCTAACGAAACTATTACCCGTTTAGAAGTCGACCCCCAATTTTTTGCCAAATAATTTGGTCTTAAAAACTCGAACTACACACAGGTATATACGGTAAATAAGGACA